TTCATTCTCACGTTTTCACAAAACCGCTGCGTTTTGGAAACGCAAACTTGAAAAGAATTGTATTGATGATAATGATAATACCTGCAATTGGAACGCTCTTGCTCTTTCTCCTGCAAGAACTCCTCTTGTTGAATGCAACTCCTGCAAAAACTCATAACGCATAAAAGACTAGTAAGCTTATATCATCCATGTTTTGATACGCTGAGATATCCACAAGGATTTTACCTTTTGTGTATCGTCTAGGACCGCTTTAAGGAATGCTACATCATGCTCGAGCCTGACATTGTCGGAGTGAACAATGTTTGATAAACTATTAGCTTCCTCTTGAGCGAGCTCTAACCCGGAGAGCTTCTCCTTAAGCAATTCAACATCTTGCATGGCGTCACATAACTTTTTATCAGTCTCTTGTTTGCCCCTCAAAGCAACCGACACATTCCTCTCAGCCGCTTCTCTTCCCGCCAATGCTGCTTCTAACTGCCCTTCCAGTATCACATTTCTTCTTATAAGAGCAGTCATTTTCGCCTCATGAAATTGGTACATGCTCGATGACGATGCTGTTGCTGCTAAATTGGTATTACCCATTTCCGGGAATATCAAGGCATCATCGATGTTTTCAAAAGGACATGTTTCTGAGCATTGCTTTTGGAGATTTAATATTTCGCGGTCAGACACCACAGAAAGTGTCTTCTCTGCTGCTGTAATCTTTGCTCCTCCATTGTTCTCATCAGCGGTCTGAAACCAAGAGAAGGAACTGCAGATGTTTTTAAGGCGATTCAAGAACACCGGTAAATGCAGCTAAACATGAACTAACTATGCATACCTGAGCTGCAGAAATTTCAACTTCTGAGCACTTTACGGGTTCTATAACCGCTCTGTATTCTTCTTCGGTACTAAACTGTTTACGCAAAGAGACATTTCCAGAAGATGGGTTACGGTGATCAGCAAAAGCAATCTCTGATAAAGACCTTCTACCAGATCCGCCGTGCTCTTCAATGGCTGAAGCAAGCTTCTGTCTAGCAACTGAATCAATCAGTCTCTGTGAAGATGCTTTAACTGATTCATCAGCGGATAAAGCTGCCGAGGATGATCGTTTCCCAAACAGTAACCGGCCAGGATTTTTCTTGGATGTTGTTTGCAGATGTGTTGGCGATTCACTCTTGATCTTGTCAATGTCAAAAGCCTCGACCTTTTCGTATACAAGATTAAGACTTAGCATTAAAACATAAAGAAAGATTGCGAATTTAAAACAAAAATGTAAACAATACAGTGGAATGATGAGGCTCGAACCTGATTTGAAGGATCTTTTTTCGCTCCTCCGAAAGCTACGAGGAAATCTTTGTCCTTGTGTTGCAGATGAACTAGACTAAATCCCTATATCGACATTTCACAAGACAATAACTGAACTTTTAATCGATGACGGTTGAAAGAATAGAAAAGTTATTTTTATATATAAAAATGAGATTTTTATTTATTTAACCACCATGTTGGCTGTGATGGAAGATTGAGAGGAGATGCTTGCCACAGACCACTCGGCCTTTAGGATATCGAAGACCAATGTTTCCGCATGTCCTGCAAAAACAAAGCAAACTTGTAAGATCCGAGTAAATTCAGTTGTGGTTTCGAGGTAGAACTTACTCTTCTTTCTGCTTCCACCTCCGGTTATATACCATTTAGTGCCGCAAAGAACTCCACAACTACCCGCTCTTGGGGACGGGTGAAATCCTCTTATCTTTATCCTTGACCATACCATCTTGATGACACCAAAAGATAAGAAATGTTGTGTTAAGAAAAAGATTCAATCTAGTAAGAAATATAGAAATATGGGAGCGGGTGAAAAGCATTATTACGGTTTCAAAGTCGAGTGAGTATAAGTCATTGAGTGTTTTGTTCTTGCCCAAACCTCCAAACACAAACAGAATTTTATCGTCAAATAGCGTGGCAACATGATTCGATCTTGCACATGGTCGTGTTCCGCTGGTTATTACGAAAAATCATGTCAAGAAATCACAAGAGTATAATGTAAATTGATATCAGAAAAAGGTGAAAACTCACGTGCAATTAAGAGGAAGCCATGTGGATGATTTGAGATCAAACATATGAAGATCGTTTAGTTTCCTCTTCTTAGAATCTTCACCGCCAAAAAGGATCAATACTGAACTTGCCCTCACCACTGTGTGACCATTGCGACTGACCTGCAAATTTCATATCCGAATCAGATATTGTCTCCAACTCCCTTTCAATCCAAACAATAAAGCCACAAACTTTAAAATGTATGTTGAGGACTTAAAGAAAATCACCGGTAAATCTCCTTTTGCCTCCATTAGTGACCAGCATTCCGAATCCGTATCAAATGCCCACACTGCCAATAATATATACAAATACAACACTGTTTTGAGCAGAGCAAAACATCGAAAAATCTAAACTCTAGAATCCAAACAACAATGTGAAACCTGAAACTCTATCACTGCAAGGATCTGTTTTTCCACCCACCAATAGCACTTTTTTACCCCAAGAGACCTAGCAACGGATACAAATATTCAAAATCGGATAGTGTAAAAGTAAAACCACAAAAACCAGAAACATGTTTTGCTCAAACTTATAATCAACTACCAAGCAATGGCCTTTCCAGGCAGGGATCATTAGAGGCAGACTACTTGGCGATAAGTAGACTTTGGAAGACGCGGTGGACCATGTAAATGAATCAAAGTTAAGCACCTGTAAATACAAAACTGAGGATATCAATCCTTTTAAACCGATACTCCTAGGCGTTGATTTGACCTTCATTTTTATACCTGTACATCATCCAATAAGCCATTACTAGATTCTCCACCAACTACTATCATTTTGTTACCAATGGCTGCCGCCGCATGCTGCATTAAAGTAGAAGGTTTTGACTTTTCATCCCAATAATTTCGAAAACAGCTCAGAAGCTAATGACTGGAAAAGAACAAGTGAGAAAATCCTTACATTAAAGCGTGGAGCGGGTTTTTCTCCACTAACCGATACCACCATCCAATTTTCAGAATTCCCCGATGAAGGCTGGAAGTCAAGTTCATCAGAATAACTAGCTGTAGCCATAGCAACCTCATCCTGCATCATGCTTCTTACAAATCAGATAAAAAGAGTCAAATGTTACCAAAAAAACAACATCCAAGTATTGTGGGTCTTTTATATAACTTACACTAGAATCATTTGCGCGTTTGGTTGCTCGCAAAGGACTCTTAAATCCTTGAACAGAATCCGAGAGCTGTACCTTCTTAACTCTGATCAATTACATCCATATTCAGAAAAAGAAGCATCTATAGTAACCATTGACTTAAAATTGCTTATCAGCCTAAAAATAGAAACTCCAGACTGAGAACAAATCAAAGATTCAACTGTACTTGATCCTGAAACAAGAAATATTATCAAAAAGAGTTGCTTTTACAGTAAGCTTATAAACAAGACACTCCAAAAGGTGAATCCTAAATCAATTGTTATTCGCTTAAAATGTAAAGGGGAAAAAAAAGGTAAAAGGAACCCCAAAAAGTTGCCCACTTTCAGAAAATCAACACAGACCCAAAAAAGGTGATTTTGATTTCACACAAGGCCAAAGGGTAAAAGAAGACTAACCTCCCAAGTCTCATGCGCCTCTTCGAAAAGCTAAACATTGTCTTCCGATACCCAAAACTATAAACCCTAGAAACACAGGGAAAAAAGAGCTACATTGTCATTAAATCCTGAGATGCCCAAAGCAAGAAATTTCTGAAAATTATAAAATTAAATCTAAGATTCAGAAGTTTACAAGCTGACCCAAATCTGACAAAACACCCTAAACTCACCGGGTTGGTTTGTTAGGAAAATCCAGAAAAAAAAAAAGAAAAATTTGAATCAGTTTCTAGAGATGATCAACGACCACAGTAGCCATATCCAGAGCTCGAAACGAATCAAGACGGCGTCGTGCCGAGTCCTAGCAAGCTGTCTGGGCCAGTGCAGGGAAATGATTGGACGGTAGATCGTTTTAGCTATGGAAAGTATTAGTATAAAAATCTTGTCTTTTGAGCAATTACTATGGGACCCAAGTTCGTCGTGTCTTTAAAACATCAAAAGAAGGAAACAAAAAACACGAATCTAGTAACGACGATCTGGGCCAATTTTCTTTTTACTTAGCCGTTCGAGAAGTAAACAAGCCGTTGTGTTGTGTCTCACATGTGTGTGCTTCATCTTTTTGATGGTATGGTTCGTTGAGTAATGGCGACATGTTTTGTCTGTTTCTGCGGAAGTGTTGATTTGAGTTCGCCCAAATATTTAATGCTTTCCAATTTGCGACGTCTTTGTGGGTCCTAAACTTCGTTACTTAAATGAGTTCGCCCAAAGATATTAGTCTCTATGACTAATCAACAATCTAAGAGCATCATTAAGAATGATACTCTAAGATTCATTAATTTTAATACTGATTTAATATTTGAGATTTATTAGTTTTTTCTAATTTTGTAAATCCAGTGGTGATACTCAATAAAATTTTAAATAATAAAAAAATAATTTATTTTTTATCAGAAAAAAATAAAAAAAAATTAAATTACTATGTATATATACAAGATTCTATAAAACACTAATTTATTATGTTTCATAAATTTTTAAACGTAAATATGGAGTCAACCATCTTTACGTAAAGTCTTTCAGTTTGACCCTTCTGAGCTGGTTCATAATTATAGTTTGATGCTTGTAGGACGCGTACAAACCCCAAGATCCATAAAATGGTGGCTATGCTTCCTTTCCTTGCTAACTATTGGAAGGTATCTTCCCGAGCAATTGGAG